GTTTCGTGGTGAGTGGCATCATGTTTTTGCTGCTGTTCCAAAAAAGTGTAAAATAAATTGTTTGTGTTATTTTCTTATTCCTGTCATCATTTATTTTACTTGCTAAAGATTGAAAAATATTGAAGGGAAAATTATTCAGCCTAAAACAGCTCCTTCAAAATAAAAAATATTTGTGGTGGTCCTGAAAGAGTGGATACCACTTCTGGAGAACGCACTAGGTCTGCTCAAGGGAAAGACTGATTGTGCAGCTTATAGAAATTTTTTAAAAAAATAATTAAGTATTAAAAAGCGCGCAATAAACTCCCGCTTTAATTTATGAGAGCTATAAGAAAGCTAACATCATTGATGCTATCTTTAAAATATTTAAGAGAAGGAAAAAAACAGAATCGTCTGCAAATAAGTTTATATTAATGGCACTAGCTCTAAACCAACGAGAAAATTTCATTTTTTAAACGAGACGATCTACATTAGATTTTTGAACTAATTTTAGGATCAAGGGTTAAAATTGCTTTTTTTCGCCAACTGTTCAAATTTCAGGAAGTTAGAATTTCAAATTTCAGGACGCAAACGATTCCTTAGTTCTAAGAATGATACGCTGACAAACTTTTCATTTTATTATTATAGATAATTCAGATTTTAATGTAGATAGGTGACTTTGACCTTCTTTCATCTGTTAGCGATGCTCTTATATTTTCAAATCAATGCAACCCAGCGTCCAACACCATCAGTGGTACACGATCCTAAGCACAACTTGCACGCCACAACTTCTATCCAATCATTTGCTAACTCCCTATAAAGGCGGATACAACTAACGCTGTGAAGATGTCATACTGTGGCCAAGTTAAATTGTTTCACTTAAAAGACATTTACTGTTGCAAATAATATCTTAAAAATTATATGAGCTATAAATCTTAGAGACTCTTAGTTGAGTCTTATAATGAAAAGTTCGCATGGTTATAATTACCTTTTCTTAAGTAAATAGAGCAGTAAAAGTTCGCTATAATAAATATTTTCAATCGCAAATTCTAAATTAAGTTATTCATTTATTTATGAGTTCTTGTTTTAAAAAAAGAAAATGGCGAGAGATAAGATGTTTGATCCTAGTTTTCAAAAAGCTTTTACTGAAGCAATTCTGAAAGAAAATAAGGTATTCTTCACTAATTATACTTTCAACAAAATGCAAATTGGTGTTATTTCAACAACAAAAGATTCTGTAATCATCGACATTTTAGATTAAGGTAACTTATCCGTTTTAGGAAGAGGCGTGAGAAACCTGTTACCACTGTGCTTATGATTTAAATACAGAAGAAGGTGTCCCTTTTATTGGCATTGTTACTTGAAGCATTTATTGTAAATGAAATCTTCAATTTCCCAATCATTTCTATCGGAGCCACGATGACTCAGGGAATAGTCCAATGAGGTGAACCGGGTACGAATCCGAGCGATGTCTGGTCGATGCGAATTCCGCATCTGGCTTGCAACGACCACAATGCTGACGTGAAATATCCTCAGTGGTAGGACGGATCATGGGTTAAAGTCTCCTTACCATCAGGCTAACCGTAGGAGGCTCTTATGGTTTTCCTCTGCATGTAACACAAATGCGGGTTAGTTCTATTAAAAAGTCCTCGAGTTCAAATTTCTCCCAATACTTGATCCAGGAGTTCCCTTGTCTTCTGGATTGGGTTCAAAATTGCAAAGCTACGGAGTTGAACATTGTAGTCGTAAACCCCAAAAAATTAGGTCGGCTGTTCAACGACGGTTGTAAAATAAAATAAAAAATATTTCTATCGAACCGTGGTCGCTCAGGGGATAGAGCACTCGCCTCTCAATGAGGTGACGTGGGTTCGAATCCCAGCGATTGTTGGTCGCACCCGGGTTACATCGACCACTGGGCTGATGGAAAATATCCTCAGCGGTCAACAGATTATGGATTAGAGTGCCCTTGAAGTCAGGCTAACCGTGGTTTTCCTTTCTATGTCACGCAATATGCGAGTTAGTTTCATCTAATACTCATAAACGATGGCAAATTTCTTCCAATACTTGATAAAGGACCTCCTTTGTCTTCCGGATTGGGTTCAAAGTTCATAGTCGTAAACTCAAAATAGACTCGGTTGTTCAACGATGGTTATAAAATATTATTTTTATCACGATTTATTGTTATTCAGAAGCCTCAATTTTAAAGTCCTTTTCTCTGTTTTCTGCAAGAACGTTTAAAAAAAATTGCAAAAATGAGCAGAGCACCCTTTCATTACATTTTATCTAGGGTATTATTTACCTGTTACCACAATTATGCATTACTGGCGGCAATAATAGAATGACAAATTTTTTTGGCCCAAACACCGGATAAGTGATGTTTATCGTTAATTTTACTTACACGTGGCATTAAATGCCACTTTTTAAATTTTTCTAGTGATTCGTCGATTAGATTTGTTGTAAGAGCGTTGTACTTATTTACAACGGTTTTCAATATAGTTTCTTACAGAACTGCTAAGTCTAAAGTTGAAATAATTAACTCAGAATCCGACTTAAAATCTATTAAAACCATCACAAAATACTAGAAAAGTATTAATAAGTAAAGGTTACTTTTAAGTTTCAGAAATCATATGCGTTTTAAACGGTCGAGTTTTATATATGTCTATTGCTACTAATAAAACCCTACCAAACAAAATTATACCGAAAACAAAACATAATTAAAACAAACAAACTACAATCTGAATAAAACACATTTTATATCAAAAGTAGATTAAAAATTGAAATTTATTTTATCGAATATGGGTTCAGTGAGAAAAAAATATCGACTTACCATATTGGGTTTCGGCGCAGGCTGACATAAATGAAACACTATCGCTCATTCTGGTGACAAACTTGGCGACATTCCGAGAGGCACCTCGAAGTATTGTCTTACCCTATTTATTTATTTTTGTAAGCGAGTAGATATGATAGTATTTTATTTTAATTTATAGTTTATGTTATTACAGAAGTCTTTTTTAAAAATATATTTGTTCAAAATATTAAAATAAACAAGATTTAAATATGTTACTCGCACATGTATAAACATCTTTTGACAAGACTCTATGGTGAATATTCATGGAAACTATTACAAATTAAATGATACATTAAATTCTTTTGCTTTTCTAAATTAACTTTACAACTTGACTAAATAAATAAGGCTTTGAACTTAATAAAAAAATTTTTTTTTGATTTCTTATGTAACATACCTACCTAAAAATGCCTCCGTTGGGTAGTAAAAATCGTATAGACGTTCCAACGTCGCACGCAACAATTTTTTGAATTTCTTTTAATAATTATTTTTTCTATAGCACAATATACGTTGATTGTTTTTGTTACGTATCACATGACAACTTTGCATTACTGTTTGAACCATGTATGAAAAAACCCATTAAGCTACCTTTAAAGATGGCTGTATGCATGCTTATTGGCCATCGAAATGTGTTACAGGTGGCGTAGAGCGGAACTCTCTACCTATGGCAACACTTCGCATGCTTTCACCATTAGCGTGTGGAGAGTCATAAAAGAAGGAAGTACATTAGTTTCTATCTTGATTTTCAAATAGATTAAAATCTTTCAAGTTAGGAAATTTTATGGAACTGAAAACTACATTAAGTATAATTCTAAAAGAAAGCGTCATGAATATTTTAAAAGATATTCTTAAAAATTAAATACGAAAAATATTAAGAAAAGGAAAAATATCGTGGTACATTCTTATACAGCTGAAAAGAGGAGGCGAGGGAAGGGGGAAGGGTCAAAGGCATGGAACCGGTCTTCTCCCAGATGGCGTATTCGAGCGTTGCGATCGCCTGTAGCAATCTTTACTGTATTCTTAATAATTACATATAAAAGTACCGCTAATGTTCTAAAGCGCGTGCACATTACCTAAATAATCTGACCTAAATAATTACCTAAATACTCCGGTAAAAAGCAGAATCAAGAGTTTTCCCTATTTTACTTTGGTAATATTCACATATATGACTTCTGTATTAGTTAAAGTTCAATGGTTTGTTTCTCTCTTTTTATCAACTAATTTATTGATTTCATTGACAAGATTCTTTATCGTCTGATTGGTTTTCAAATCCTCCCTATGTACGTGTTTAAAGACGTCGCAAAATACTTTCCCTTCTTCAATATTCATTATTTATTTTGAAATCACCGTCAAGCCAGTAATTATAAGTTAATAATAAAAATTGTATGCAAAATACTTTAAATTATTATTATGTAAGTACATTAAAATTGCCTGCTAGTGAAAATGAAAAGAAAAAAAGCAGCGTTCGCAATAGCAAAGCATGCAATGACGACGCATGCGCACTGCTTACTATTACTCTTGAACGCAGTTGAAAAGCGCGATGACTTCCAAATAAGTTGCGCCCGCCATCAAACCCAAAGCAAGACCCATTTTGCCAATGGGAAATAAATATAATTGTTTTAATGTAAGTGTATAGAAACGTTGTTGTTTTACCAGAAAAAAATCTTATATTCACTTTAACGATTGTCTAATACGTAATGTGGTAGATTGTCTACGCGTATTTTGCAGATTGCATAGTTTAAAAGAAAAAGAATTGACACTTTAACGGATTACCCTAATTGATCTGCACGTTAGATAATCTATAGAATGACTGATTTCTTTAGTTTAGAGGTAACATAATAGGTCACTTTATAGGTGCGAGTAAACTGGAATTTAGAACACGGATCACTCTTAAAGCGATGTGCAGAATCTTGTACCTGGGACGATATGCCCGACGATGATGATGACGATTATGAACCAGATTCTCCTCCTCAGGAAGTCTCGGCGTTTGAAGATGAGCTTCAATCCATCACTGATGCTCATCAATCTACAAAACCAAAGCCACCGAAAGAAGATGACGAGAAGGAGCAATTTCTGCCTCCATCAGTAACTAAGCCAATTGAAGTGGATGTCAAAAAATTACTTTATAAAGGTGATTTCAGACTTTTATTTTAATATAAGTGTGTTTTCTTCTTGAATAGAAACGAAACCCAAAAAACAACCGACAAAAAAAAGAAGAAGAAAAATTCTTTCATATTCATATTTGAAACTTTGTCACTACCAGAGAGCATCACTTAACTGAAACCTATTTTTAGTAAACATCATTAACTTCAACAATAATATGACGATTTCTTACGTTTCTCCTAAATGAATGAGTACCACATACCCATTAATTTTGCCTTTAAATATATAAATATTTCTTCTATTCAATTTATGTTGATTTTAAATAAATAATTTTTCAGAAACTCGTTTTTTAAAAAATATTATTGGGAGAACAAATTAGTTCGGTCCGTTTTTAAAAGATGGCTCTGCTGTTATGAATGTTATATAGTGACAGCTGGTTTCGGTGGTTTCAGAGATGTTAAACATCTGTCAATAATATTAAGTTTATATCGAATTACAAAAACCCTGTTTTTTACTTAGTTGAATATATCAAATTTTGTGGTAACGAAGCACCATTTGCGGGAGGTTTTATGTTTTTGCTTTAATTGGAAGAAAAGTGCTGCTGAAGCGCATCGAATGCTTGTAGAAGTTTAGGGTGACAATGCTCTAACTGATAAATCATGTAGAGAATGGTTTCGACGTTTCTAGAATGGTGAATGAAGAATAGTGAATAGTGTTGTATACTATGAGCTGCTACAAACTGGTGATTACATTACGGGAGATCAGTATAGGCTACAATTGATTCGTTTGAGCCGGCATTTCGAAAGAAACGGCGGAATACGAGTAAAGACATGGCAAAGTTATTCTTCTGCATAATAACGGTCGGCCTGATGTCTCAAAAGTCGTAAAAAATTATTTGGAAACACTCAAGTGGGATATTTTACGGCAACCGCTGTATTCGCTGGACATTGCTCCTTCTGTTTACTGGTTGTTCCGGCGGATGCAGCACGATTTGGCAGGTTACCAGTTCACTTCTTTTGCAGAAATCGAAAATTGGCTCCTAACTAGAATCGCCTCAAAAGACAAGACATTTTTTCGTGAGGTGATTCTACGGTGATTTTAATATAAATATGAATACTGAAGAAGATGAAGTATTTTTTGACGTTTTAAACGTATATAGCCCGGATTTGAAAACCAATCCGACGACAAACATCAATTGAGACAATTTTTGCAACCCATGATTTGAAATGTTGTGGCGTTTATCGGAGTCAAACCAGAAAAAAAAGCATTTGACCATTAGGTAAAAATTAATTGTAATAAAGCGATCACAATTTTTTTTATTATTTTTTCTTTATAATTATTTTTAAGTAATTGAAAAACTATCGCAATATTTCGATATTTATTGACAATACATCGAGATATTAAAATTAATTTTTATTAGTTAAAGGGGTCAATGTTTGTGTTGGCGAAGAAGCGGAAAACTAGTCGCCAACGCTCATCGTCCCTATGACAGAGAAGAGCAACATTTTTTAAACAAATAGTATAACTCTTTTCTTTTAAAACGGTTATTAGGTCTCAGTCAGGAAGAGGAAGGTAGATACCAATATCTGAAGAAAAGATACGAAAAGGATCCTAAAGATAAATTCTATTATCCTATTATTTCTTCTTGGGAATACGGCTGGACATACGGAGGAGATGAGCAACTGAAACATCCGGAACACGGCAGGCGACAAATCATTGAAGCCTCTTTCTTTCGAAGAAATGATCCTCAGTTGAAACCCAGAGATTGATTTCTTATTCTTTTTTCGAATTGTTGGCTTTCTTCTGTTTAATTTATAGTAAATCTGCAGTTTTGAAATAAATTAATTAAACAATGCATTTTATTATTAAGATTATTTTTTACTACGTTTTCTGTCTATTAATTATGAAACAATTTTAAAAGCGATGAAATTTTTTTATGAGGTTATCGTAAATTTTATACGTTTTATTTACATGTCAATTTTAGGAACAATGTTAGTCATTTGTAAAACAGATATTCCACCTATTCAAACCTGAAACCTATTCAAAACCCAGCTGAAAGAAACACGCATTTTTTAAACTAAATCTACAAAAAAATTTCTTACAATAAGTACTTGGTAACATTTCTTTTTTCCCTTTCTTTAAATTTTCCTTCTCTATTACTGCATTTTTGTTGATAATTGTTCAAAACTAACAAATGAAAATCAAATTTTTTTTCTCTCATATCATGCAGCCTATTGAACCATAAAATATTTTATTTTATTCGATTACTCCCAAAGGTTGTATCCTGTTTGATGTGTGATAAAATTTAAAATCGTTAGATGGCGCCACTATATAAGAGCTGAGGTTGCAAAAAATGTTTCTATATATCTTTTTAAATGAATAAGTAACAGACATTGTGCAAGCATACATTTAGTTTAAGCAAAATTATTCTAGAAAATGCATTTTTTTCTACCTATAAGGTAATAAATTTAAGGTCATATGGAAGAGTTGTTATAGTTAACATATGAAAAAAATATATCGTCTGAACCTAGATACCGTATTCTTTGTTCGATTTGCCCATTACTAACCTGCAAGAAATTTTCAGTAAAGTAAAATTTCATTGCACATCAAAATAATAATTTAAAAATAAAACAATAAAATATAAAATTATTTTAATTAAAAATCTTTCCGAACTCTCCTATATTTCATAATTATATAGAATAGATTAAAAAATGACCAATATTTAAAAAACTCGAACAAACTAATGTTNATTTGTGAAAACCTTCAGCGTGGCGGACAGCTGGCCGCCTTAGGCGGCTAGTTTTTAATAAATCTGAACTCGTTGATTTGTTTATGAAATTTATTATTCTTCAAAACTATTGCATACATCTTTGAATAAATATTATTATTTTAAATTTTGATGAAAATAATTTTTGTAGGCGATGATAAAGCAAGTTAAAAAATGAAATTACTAAAATTGAAATTTTATTAGTTTCATATTTAAAATTATTTTAAATTTATAAGCAAATTACGTTTATATTTGTTTACATTAAATTAAAAATTATTTTTACTTATTAACACTCATACATACATATAGAGATATACATACATATACTATGTTAAGTAAATTTTTATTTTACATCGTTAGTTAGTTTACTCCAACAAAAGATATAATACTCGTATGTAAACTCTAAATTTTTTTTAGAATTTATTATTTTAAATAAAAACATAATTTTATTAAAATGAAGTCTTTTCCTTTCTCTGTGCATAAATAAGTATAGAAACAAGTATTACGATGATTTAAAATAAGTCTTTTTAAAATTTAACACTAACTTCTGTTACGTCATCACTTTCAAAAAAAGAAAATTCTCGTTATTTCAAAACTACTTTTTTACGATATTCTTCTTTAGAAATAGATATCACCGAAATTTGGAGAATGCCGACTATCTTCTGCGAATGCGAATGATCACATTCTCGCTTTGGTAAGCATTCAAAATATTTGCTACGTCTGATTAGTCATTGATATTTTAATCGATCAGTCATTGATATATTAATTGGATTTGTAAAGATCGATTATTTATAGGTAATTCGATCTTTACATATCCAATTAGAGTAGATTAGGAAAAACATCAATGTTGGACTTTTTCCGGGAAAATATATAACAGGCAGTGACACCTTAAAGAGAAAGTGTAGGAAATAACGGGCAACGGTACTTAATTATAAAACATCAGTGTATGGGAAACCTTTAGTCTTTTTTTTTTTAAAATAATAATAAGGAATAGAGAATATTGGTCATTTTCCCGGTATTCCCAATTCTGATTGATTATATCAAATCAAATCTAGCATATATTTCGGACATTTACTAAGGCGTCTATGTGATTGTTTATAATCCGCAGAAAAAATCGACAATCACCAGTTTTGATTTTTCGCAGTGACATATATATACACTCGTATAATCACAACGGAAAAGAAAAATTGCCAAGGAACAACGTAAAAGTTTAAATTAAATGGGTAAGTATACTAAAGACAAAAAATTTGATAACGAAAATTTAATGGCACGAGCTTTAGATTTTAATTGTTAAGTATTCCATTAGAGCTTCCACTTTGAACCTCTGATTCCAATATAACAAATGAAATTTTGTAGTTTATTACATTTTTTTTTTTTTTTTCATTCGAAGATAATTCAAATTCTCTTTAAGCAGCATGTGCCCCTAAATTCTTATCTTAGGTTGTCGTGACGCTTGTAACATTTTTCTTTAGATCTCATTTTACAATAAGTACATAAAATATTTTATTATATTCGATCACCCCCCAAGGCTGTATCCTTTTTGATATGTGATAAAATTTCAAATCGTTAGATGGCGCCACTATATAAGAAATGAGGTTGCAGAAAAATGTTTCTATATGAATGAATAAGAAACAAACATTGTGCAAGCATGCATTTAATTTAAGCAAAATTATTCTAGAAAATGCATCTTTTTTTTATTCATAAGGTAATAAATTTTAAGGTCACATGGGAGAGTTGTTATAGTTGAAATATGAAAGAAATATATCGTCTGAGCCTAAATTGCCCTTTGCTCGAATTGCCCACTACTAACCCGTTAGGAATTTTCAGTAAAGTTTCATAATACTTCAAAATAATAATTTAAAAATAAAACGATAAAATATAAAATTATTTTTAATTAAAATCCTTTTCGAACTCTCCTATATTTCATAATTAATAGTATGGATTAAAAAGAGCCCAATTTAAAAAACTTGAAAAAAACTAATGTTTTAAATTTAGAACTCGCCGTAACAGACAAATGAACTAACTTGGGAATTTTTGAGCGTGTATAAAATGTTACCTAGCAGGTACTTTGTGAAGATTTTTCAAATATTTGATGAAGTACTTACATTTTTTTGGGAAGATTCAAATCTTTTTAATAATAAGTAAACAACCGATGCCCATGAACATACTTTTCAAAAAAAATGTCCATTTTCGTAAGATCGACAATTTCATCTGCGGAAGAAAGGAAATAAAAAATAAAAACTTCTTACACAGTAAATTGTATATTTGATTTTTCTCTTTTAAATTTTTAAACATACTAATATTTTTAATAGCTAATTATTTTTTTTATCCCGGAATTATTCTATATTCTATTAAAAGCCTATTTTCTTATGCATGAAAAGTACTTACTTGATTCAACATGAATACCTATATATTACTGGTATAAGAGGTGTATACAAAATTATATTTCTTATATATAAAACTTTTCAACACACTTTTAGTTCCTTCAACTTTATTTTGGTCGCATTCCATTAAGCAAAAAATAAGATGATGAAACAATACCTTTATTTGACAGGATAGCGATACCAGACGCGTAAATAGGTACAAATACAATTGCACTTTTTAGGAATAAAACTTTTAGAATTTCAATAATTATATTATTTACTATTAATATTATTTGCTAAAGTTTGATTTTATTCATTTCAGCGTAAAATGATACATCACAAATAATAATTCACTTGGTCTATAAAGCAAGAATTTAGTTTCTGAATCTACAATACACAGGTATATCTTTCCTAATTTTAAAGCTCATATCGCGAAAAATTCCACTTGTGATTGAAAAAGAATATATAAATAGCACATTTGAAATCAATTCACGAAAGAAACAATATAAAAAATAACAGGCATGCCAAGCAATATTTCATGACTCAACTTTCACAGGCGCGTGTAATCTTCGTATTCAGAAGGAAGTGTTCAGGAAATAATGGAAAAAACAAATACCAATGAAAGCGAAACTTCTTTAAATTCCGGATCGCTTTTTGAAAAAGCGCCAACCGACTGTCATTGGCGGTGTTTTACCGTGCGGTTTTCGCCAAATGGGTGGGTCTTAGTTCGCAATGTAAACAGAAAGAGGCATTCTGTTGCTGAGAACGTGAACTGCGTTTTAGCGGGAAAAGCCTAGAGTATAAGTCGATTCTTTCAAATAAGTAATTTTTAAAAAATAAACATGTCTCACTCTGTCACTGTTACAAGAACTACTACAACTTCAAGTGCTACTGCAATTATTTTGAATACAGGACTTCTAAAGACAGCAAGTGGTGCTTTAAAATTGTTCGAAACGGTGAGAAATTCATTTTTCCCTAAATAAAAATAATTGCTTCTTTTTTAAATATTCAATAGCTATCTTTTGTTAAATAATAGAATCGATAAAACCTGATGAATAGCTGCATATTTTTATTTTTTAAAAATTCAAAGGCTATCTTTTGTTCAATAATAAATCAATCTTGATAAATGAATATTTTTACTTTACAGGAAATAGTGCTGAAAAAGAAAAAAAACTCAGTTATAAATAGGTTTGAGACAATTTTGACAAATACTATTTGTCTTTCGATTCACCAAAAAATAAATAAATAACTAAATAAAAAAATCGCGTAATGTAAAAATTATTCCGATAGCAAAATTCTGATTTTATTTAGGAGAAAAAAAAAATTTAATATCTTTTCCGCCTACTCTTCAATGTGGGTTAGTCCGAAAAGAATATCTTAAAATGCGGCGGCAGGGAAACACAAAATACAAATTTTTTAAACGATTGTTGTTCGTAATGAGTTGAAAAAGTGTTATCGGTTGTAACACCTGTGAGCGGAAATTCTCCACGTTACTTGGTGCATTAGAAACGTCATAAGTTTCTGAAATGATGATGAATCAAATAGACTAAGATGTGAGATTTTTATTCTTCTACTACATAGCTCTTTTGACAATATAATTATTTTCATTTTCATGACATTCCCATTCAATAATAATACCAGCAGAATATTTTTAATAGTAGAATATTCCAAATATTGGAGATATTACTTAAAATATATATTTGGAGAATTTAGATTTAAGACCTGTCAATTTAAAAGTCACACTTTTTTTTTTTCAATTTTCTTGACCCCGCCTTTTTTGACCCCTTCTCTTCGTAACAAAATGTCATATTCTATCGTAATTTCTATTGAAGAGCAATTTATAGCAATATTTTCGAATTTTAAAAAGAATTTGCAATATTTTTTTAATTATATTTGTTTACTCTTTTTTTTTAAACTGTCCAAATTTCATTAAAATAACCAGTATTCTTTTTTAAGCATGTCAAAGTTCTGGAACACTTTCTTTTAATGTTTCTTACTAAGACTAATAAATAATTAGCATTATTTTTCTTTCGAAACAAAATAAAATCGACAGGAATATAAAAAAACAGCTTATAATATATAAGAAAACAGCATTTTTATTACTTGTAAATAAATGTAAAGAAAATATATAAATTTAATATAAAATGTAACAAAAATGTTAATTTACTTGATTTTTAAATTTTTTAATTGTAATCATAATGTGTGATGTCACCCTCTTTATTATTTTCCGTCTTATCCTTGTCACAAACCCACTGGATTTCCATCAATCGTGACATCATTTGTGTATGGCTCTGATTGCGTTTAACAACACAAATGTGTCCACTCTCCTGGGAGGAGTTACATTTTTGAAAACTAAAAATTTAGCCACATTTTTGAAAACTATAATTAGATATGCTTTAACTTTAGTGATCGTTTTGAATGATAAAAAAAAACGTTAATATTAATAATAAATTATTTATATAAATAATGAATAATCAAAAAAATTTAATTTTATTTTCATTATACTAAGATTTTTGTTCAGGAAAACGTACATGGGCAAGAATCTCTAGTACCTTGCACATTGTAAAATAGTAATATAAGACCGACAATGTATAAAATTATGTACACATATATAATTATAAAAAGTAATAAGCGAGAATGAAATAGTAATATTAGAAAAAACCGACAATGTATAAAATTATATATACATACATAATTGGGAAAGTAATAAGGGAGAATGAAACCATGTTGAGGGCATATGTATGTTAAAATTACAAGCTTTCGTACTTTTGCCAAAATTTTACATATTATCAAAGCATTCTGTGCACCGTTCTAATTTACGTAGTTCTAGGCAGTTATGGATCCCCGCCATCTTACCTGCCAGCAGAAATTCGTAAATCACAAACCCCATCCATGCCTATGAAGGAAAATTCTTATCTTCCTGCTTGTTTTCAGTTTTAACTTTTACTATAATAATTTTTTGGGGTTATATTGAAATAATTTGCAATAAAACAAAATTTATGTTTCAGATCATTCTATATTAGCTTGGATGGAATATTGGTTCTTCGTCTTTTGAGTTTCCCTTTCTGTGGTTAAAATTTTTGTAATAATTCTTTTCTGAATCTTCGTGTTGAAATTTTTTTTCAACTTTTTTCTTTATCAAAGTTTAGAGCGGTTTTAGTGTTTTACGTAAGCATTGCTCGTACCCTTATTTGTCAGCAAACGTAAGCAAATCACGAACCCATCACTCCCTTTATTTATGTAATATTTGAAGAGGACCCAATACAGTGCTTGAATTCTGAGGTTCGTTGTTTACATATCCAATTGAATGGAAAATAGTAAACATGTTTCTTATTTATATTTATCTATCTATATTTATTCCTTCGTTCCAAGCTTTCGCACTTTGCCATCAATTTACATATTATCTAAGTATTCTGTGGGCCGTTCTAACTTGCGTAAGCATGTTTTAGGCAGTTTTGGAATCAGCAGAAATACGTAAACCACAAACCACTTCCATGTGTACGTAAGGAAATTGTTATCTTCCTGCTTGTTTGTAGTTTTAACCATGACTTTAGCTATGATTATTTAAATGCTTGAATTCTGAGGTTCGTTGTTTACATATTCAATGGAATGGAAAATAGTAAACAATTTCCTTATATCTATCTAAATATTAGCTGAGTTGTGTTTAAGATTAGTTTTTTTTTTTTTTTTTTTTTTTTTTTTTTTTNCATTATACTAAGATTTTTGTTCAGGAAAACGTACATGGGCAAGAATCCCTAGTACCTTGCACATTGTAAAATAGTAATATAAGACCAACAATGTATAAAATTATGTATACATATATAATTAGAAAAAGTAATAAGGGAGAATGAAATAGTAATATAAGAATAAACAGACAATGTATAAAATTATATGTACATACATAATTAGAAAAAGCAATAAGGGAGAAAGAAACCATGTTGAGGGCATATGTATGTTACTGAAGAAATATAAAATTACAAGCTTTCGTACTTTGTCATAATTTTACATATTATCAAAGCGATTGGCTGTTCTAATTTACGTAAGCAAGTTTTAGGCAGTTTTGGAGCTCCGCCATCATACTTGTCAGCAGAAATTCGTAAATCACAAACCCCTTCTATGTTTATGTAAGAAAATTCTTATCTTACTGCTTGTTTTTAGTTTTAACCTTTACTATAGTAATTTTTTGGGGGATAAATTGAAATAATTTTGCATAAAACAAAATTTATGTTTCAGATCATTTTATAAAAGCTTGAATTAGAATATTGTTTCTTCGTCTTTTGAGTTTCCCTTCTGAGGTTAAAATTTTTGAAATAATTCTTTGAATCTTCGTGTCGAAATTTTTTTCCAACTTTTTTCTTTATCAAAGTTAGGAGCGGTTTTAGTGTTTTACGTAAACATCGCTCATTCCCCTTTTCCCTCTTTGTCAACAACATTACAATGCTTGAATTCTGAGGTTCGTTGTTTACATATCCAATGGAATGGAAAATAATAAACAATTTTCTTATATCTATCTAAGAATAGCTGGGTTGTGTTTAAGATTAGTTAATTTTTATCACTGTGATCCGAGCACTGGGATGGGAGGTCGCTGGGACCTCCCAAAAATTTTCACTAATCGGCAAATATTGTTTGGCAAAATTAAAAAATTTCATATTCTTACTTTTAATTTTTTTTTTTAAATAAATTAAAAGTAAGAATATGAATAAAATTATTACACGTTTATTTGACTTTTTTAAAATAGCTTTGAAAAAAAAAGTATGCTTAAGAGTAGTTAAGGTATAGTTAACGTATTATAAAAAATAAAAAAAATTTGCTACTATTTATTTTCTTTTTGTTTAAAATTTCATTTTTTTTTACCACACAAAAATGTTTTTAAAGTAGAATATGTTGATTGTTATAAGCGATTTTTTTTAAAAATAGAAATTCGTTATTAAATAACTTCTTATAATAAAATAACATTAAAGAAACTGCGATTTTCTGGTGAACATAAAGATGGAAAACAATGTAATTTTTTGCCACTGATAGTGATTATCAATGGTGATGGAGTTCACTAAAGTGAAGTTACGAAAGTGATGTGACTCCTGGCTCTTGTTTTGAATCTGACATTTATGCTTTAAAGTGGTCGAAATTTCGATTGGCGATAAATTTTACTTTGCATCAATCACAAAATGTTTGAATTATCATCTTACGCAGAGCTCCAGTTTAAATTTGAGTACTCTAGCTAATCGGCAAGTGGTCAAATAATTGTTGGCTATAAATTGTATTTAATTACATAAATTATGCCTGTACAGCTCAAGAAATGATCAATACTGGCATAAGTATTCTACATAATTCACTGTTAGACACTTTAACTAATTGGACAGCAGTGTAAATTTGGAATGTCGATAAATATTTTTTAGTAATGATATTGCTATAAAACTTGCATGTAATGGCCAAGAAATGTTTTGAAACTTGAGATGTCATCTAGTACAGAGCTTCGTTTATAATGTAAGCACTCTAGCTTATCTGATAGTTGTCGAAATTTCGATTGACTATAAATTTCTTGTTATAATAAATGGAATAATTATTTAATTTGTCAACAAGCTCGGAGTCCTAGTAGATATCAAATCGCTCTAATTTTATTCGTAAAATGATCGAAAGTTTTACGAATTTGTCATTCCAGTGATCAATTGACTTAGTGATAATATGGTGATAAATTCTGATTACAGTGATCAAGAAACGATTGAAACTTACATTGTCGTGCATTGTACTTTTGTAATTCGAATAAATCATAAAGTTAGCGAAAAATTGACTGGTGCTAATTTCTTTTTGGCTATAATTTTATTTTTATTTTTTTTATTTTCAGATTGTTCGAATTTTGTTAAAATGATTCGTGTTATATTAAAGAGTGTTCATGACCAATATTTTTTTTTAATTTCCAATTTGTAACTTCGACTAGGTTTAATTTTAATCAGCATTTAAATTTTTTTCTATACAAAATAAATTAAACTAGAATAGAAAAGAAAATCATTTGAAGAAAATAGCATTCTTATCATTTTAAAATAAACGTAAAGTGAAAATAAAGCATAATTAAATAAATATTTCAAAAAAATAAAAATATTCAATTTGTTGAGTCATCAATTGTGGACATCATTCTTAACTATGAAACTATAAAAGGATTTGTTTTGTGTTCAAAAATTGCTAAACAAATTATTATTTTAATATTTTCTATTCAATATCTTTTTTTTCTTCTGAAATGGAAGATATTAGTTTAAATCTGGTAGGGAAAAGATCCCTACATTTAACGAAATTAAACTTAATTATTTGATAACTACAGGAAATAGGATTACAGAATATTGTTTTAAGAAGAGACTTTAATTGTACGTCGTTTTAAAATTCGTCTCGTCTCTGTCTGGTTCTGTTTTCAGTCACGTAAGTAGTTACCATAAATAGTGGTGATTCTGAGTATTCCGAAACAAGTGGAAAGAAAGTGATGTCATATTTATCGCTATTCTAGGTCAGTAGGTCAAGCTTTCGTTTGTTTCACAGCATATAAAGTTCAGGATGGGTAATAATCGATTGACCTGTTGACTCTGTGACACTAGATCGAACTAGTGTCACAAAATGTCAAACGCTTAAATATTTTTCCCCCCTTCCTATTCTGAATTTGAAGGGCTTATTTTGAGACCGTGAAAAACCAGAACAAGTTTATGCCATTCTAAAAAAAGAGAAAAAATTGTTCTGCAAAGTTAAAAATCCGTAACAATCTGATGAACTTTTATAGTTAATGTTTTAAATTTAATTCAGGTTCAGGTCCCGGATTCGATCCTCGGGCCGGGCAAGGTTAACTCAGCCTTTCATTCCTTCAATGGGTCGATAAAATGAGTACCCAGCATTGTTGGGGACTAAACAACGGGGGTTCCGCGTACGACTGTCCACCCAACCGGAGAATCTACTCCTGCACCCCAGAGCCTAAGGTCAAGAAAACTGAGATGGATACAGTAGGCTTTGGCCCTCTTCGAACTGTCGCGCTACCGTGCTTAGTTTAGTTTTTCAACTCATATATATATATATATATTACTAGTGCTGAACTGAGCTTTTAAGTTGAAACTAAAAAACTAAATAAATAAATACGAATAATAAACAAGTAAAAAAAAATTATTGTTCTCGTGAATTTTAGGGGTCGAGAATCAAAATAGTTAATTCCAGTTTTTTTTTACTCAGGAATGCTTGATCAAAATTTTAAATAACTGTTAAAAATCATCCAAATTCCATGTCGTTGTCCTCGAGAATATTTGGTTAAGTATTAAAAAAAAAAATTTCATTCCATTTTCTCAAGAATATTTGATCAAGAATTAAAATTACTTAAAAATAAATTAATTAATCAGTAGCTGATTACAGTTTGTTGTTCTGGAGAATGTTTGGTCGAGAGTTAGAACTTAAGTTTGTGTAAAAACGGTCTTGCCCTAGAAGTAAGGACACCCATAATTTAAGAGGATGCTGTACCGCTGTAGAAACTTTACATGGCAAATTCTGTTTTACCTCTGTTGATATTTTAAAATTTTAAGTGTTTAGCAAGTTCAGAAACGTAGAGTAAATGCTGAAAAAGTTCAAAATTCAAACAAATTACTCCAAGATAACTTTCCCACTGCTTAATCCTAGGTAGTATTGCCTTAATTTGTTTGAATTATGATATTTGAAAGAAGGAAAAAAAAAAATCAGCATTTGAAACCCTAGGCTTACCTGTAATCATCTTTTCTATACATTAAATTTTAAATAGCATTGAGTTGATTTTGTTTCCCAGTCTAGTTTTGCTTTTGATTTATGTCATGAAGTTTCAATTGTATTTCATTAAGAATGAGACTTAAAACAACAAAATTTAAAAAAAAAACGAATTTGTTCGTTTAATTTGTTTTGTCCATTTTGATGCATCTTGACGTTTTCTAATGTGTGGCGCCATCTCTCAACAAACGATTGAACCATTTTTACATTTTTAACTTTTATTTTATAATTTTTTTTATGTTATGAAAATATTTTTTTCAGATAATTGGAGCAATATGCTTGGGTCTGATAGCCTATTACTCTACTGACAAGGGTGGGACTTGCTTGAACGCCGAGTTCGTTTTCTTCTTCCTGGTGACATTTGCCTTTTTGGTGACCACTTTTCTCCTTCTCATCTCTGCACTAGTGTCTCTCATGTCTGCCACTATAATACACAAGACGCTTTTTGTAAGTATTGCATTCATTTTGTGATTACTGTAATATTTTGAGCCTTCAAAAAATCATTTGCTCATTTTCAAATTATATTATATATGTTACATACTTTCAAGATATTAATATTGCTTTTTTATTTATTATAGTTTTATCAGTTTATAAAAAAAGTAAAAGTAGGATAATATCAGTCGTCGGAAGTAGCGCACTACAAATAGTGAAACTGCTGTAGTCGCTACTTTTTTCTTATTTTGTAATTTAGTGTGCTATTTTTTTTTTAAAAAAAAGTAGTGTAGTGAGTAGTGCTATACAAAAAACAGTAGTTTGTAACAATTCCTAGCAACTACTTTTAACGTTAGTTAAGAATTGTAACACGGCTTTAACAACTATAGTAGGATAGTATCAGTCGTCGGAAGTAGCGCACTACAAATAGTGAAACTACTGTAGTCGCTACTTTTTTCTCAGTTTGTAGTTTAGTGTGCTATTTTTTTTTAAAGAAGTAGTTTAGTGAGTAGTGCTATACAAAAAACAGTAGTTTATAGAAATTCCTAGCAACTACTTTTAACGTTAGTTAAGAATTGTAACACGGCTTTAATACAACTATAGTAGTATAGTATCAGTCGTCGGAAGAAGCGCACTACAAATAGTGAAACTACTGTAGTCGCTACTTTTTTCTTAGTTTGTAGTTTAGTGTGCTATTTTTTTTAAAGAAGTAGTTTAGTGAGTAGTGCTATACAAAAAACAGTAGTTTATAGAAATTCCTGGCAACTACTTTTAACATTAGTTAAGAATTGTAACACGGCTTTAACACAGTTAATTTTTCGAATTCGATGTGTGCAAATCTTTTAGGGTTTGTTCATGGATGCAATGAAAATGACCCTGTAGTTGCAGTTGAGCGTTAATAAAAACTACGAATTTAAAATCATGTGTAACTAATATAACTAATAAACTAGCCATTACTAAAAATAGATAATTAATCACTTTTGTCACACTTTCACATGCGGATGCAAACTCATGAAACATTGACGTTATTTCATAGAAAGGGATTGTATTTTCAACGTACTTAATTTCTTGGAGGAAATGAAAGAGCATTGAACAATTTAAAAATTGCAAGTACATATTTGATTATTTCATATTTCTTAAATTAAATATTCGCTGTCGGAAATGGCATAAAAAGTTGAAGGTTAAATTAACTATTTCAAAAAATATGTCTTTGGAATAACAAACTTGGCTCATTTAAACACACAAAAATATTTCTTAGTTCTTTTTTTTCTTTCTTTTTTCTTTTTCTTTTTTTAAATGAAAGCCAGTTTCTTATTCCAAACCTTTTTGAACATAGGTGTAAATTAAGTTCTCTAGCTAAGTTCGTCTAGAGTTGTGAAGTAGTTTCTAAATTCCAAAGTAGCTTATTTAAAAAAAAGTAGTAGTAGTTAAATACATTTCTAACAAAGTAATTGTAGCTGTTGTAAATTACAAAAATAATGTAGTTTTTCCGACCACTGGGTGATGCATGTTTAAATGTTCAGAAGGGGATCTCTTTCGAGAGTTTTAATTAAAAACGTCACTATTCCCATGGTAAGTAATAAGATGTTTCTGTATGTGAGAGTGTTAATATCGAGTGGCAATTAACTAGTTAACTAGAAAACTAGTTAATTCCCTTTACCTATCTTGAAGTAATACAAAGGAACAGTTTGATGCAAAAATATCACCTTAGGAAAAAGCCTTGGTTTATTTAGGTTATGGAAAGAGACAATTACACGTTCCATAACGAGAACTGTACCTTATATTTTAACAATATGAAATCTATTTAATTGGAAAAAAAACGCAATTTTTTTATTTATTTAGAATACTTACAACAGTTCATTTTAAGTATAAATAAATTATATATATTTACAGAGAATAGTCTTTCCTCTTTTTATTATAATTCCACTCTTTTTTTTTTAAATCGAAAATTTTCACTTTAACAAAAAATTTCCTTTACAAAAGTTTAGGTTTTTCGATTTTCCGAAAAAATAGAAATTTTTTTTTCACTTTTTCCTGTTTATGTAAACGTAATTTAAAATTACGCATCGTGATTCGTATTCACTTGATTTACAAATCGAATATTAGGATTCGTATTCACGCGATTTCACACATCCAGATTATGTGCGCATGATTTTTAAAAAAATATCGCCCATCGTTCAAGCATCGTAATTTGTATTCATACGGTTTAAAACTTATCGCGATTCATATTCACGTGATTTAAAATTAATGATCGTGTTCTGTGCATCATGCATCAGTATTTTCTACTAAAGTGCTATAGATTCCTATATGTATTTTTTTTCCTTGCTCAAATTTCAGGTATTATCTCAATTATTTAAAATGTGTTGAGCGCATAACGTTTTTAGATTTCAATTTTCAGCTTTTTTGGGTTTATTTTTAAAAAAAAGATTAAAAAATCACATTTAAAATAAAAAAAATTAAATCTTTTGTTTTGTTTTCAAATTTAAAAGAATAATAAATAATTGAAAACGGAAACATGTGTTTTGCAATTAAATATTCAAATTATCAAAAGAAAAAAAAATGATATCACTACTTTCTATCTTATCTTCTGAAATATGAGATCCGTTTCTAGTTATCTAGATGTCTAGTTATCATATAATTGGAGTTCTATGACATTCTCTTCCCTTAAATGAGACATTCTTTTACGAAGTTTTGTTTGGTGATTCATATGCGGTAAAGGTTGAAGTTTACATTTCCTAACATCGGTGCAACTCCTAGTTCCAAAAACATTTCAAAAGTTAGAAATACATTACTGATAATGCAGAACTGATATGATATTTATAAATATACTCAATCAAGTATCCAAAAAATAACAAAACAAAAAAATTCTGTTTTTTTNTTTTTTTTTTTTTTTTTTTTTTTTTTTTTTTTGGAAGATCTAAAAAAAGTTATAGTAACACCTCGTCATGTCGTATTGATTTGGGACAGAAAGATATATAAGATATATCCGAATTCGAGATGTTATTAAAGTCATGAGACCATAATATTACAGCAAAAGCAATAGAGTACGAAAATATTAATTCATAAAAGTGCAAGCACAGTCCAGCTTAAAAAAATGGGGGGGGGGACTAATAAGAATCTAATTTGGCATTATTTGAAAATCCCAGAAAATTGCTGGTTTTTTCGGAAAAGGAAATTTTAAATTCTGATATTTGGGCGAATGGGGTATTGTTTCCGACGTAGTATTTTACGTTGCATCAAATGAATTCAAACCAGGGTTGGCCTACAGTGATATATCTTCTGTAGTAGGTATCATGGATTAGTATTTCTTGCCGTTTTTCTCTCCATGAGACTCAATCCAGGGTTAGTTTCATCAAAAAGTCCTCCTCAAAGGCAAGTTGTCTCACTATTTGATCTAGGGGTTCATATTGTCTTCTGGGTGGGTTTTAAAATTATAAAGCACTGGAGTTGATCATTGATAGCAGCAAACCCAAAAATGTGTCAACGCCAGTTATGAAATAAAACACTGGACAGTAGGACTAATAATTTGAAAGTAATAAGGGTTTTATGTGTAAAAAGTATTCTTTTTGTTATACTTTCTATACATCTGACATAGCTATCTATACAAGTGATGTATTATTTTCAGACGTTGTTCTTTACATTTAATTGAATGAAATCAACTTTGAAAAGATAGAAGAAATAGTTTAGAAGTTATAATGTCTTTTATTAGTCCAAAGCATAATTCAAATGTAGTATAATACAAAAATAAAAGTTAACTTTTGAACTATTAGCCCTTTTTACTCGTGTTTGGTATCATTCGTTTTAGCATAAAAAAATCACTAAAATTAATGCTCGACTTGTCTGCATAACAATGCCAGGTGCGTGGATAGATACAAAAAAGCAGACATTGTAATTAAATTGCTTAAAACCCTTTTAAATTCAAAACTTATGATTCTATCGCTTCGTTAGAAAAGAAAATCTGCATTTGTTTAAATATCAGTATTTAATTTACCTGCGCATTAACCCTAATTTATTAATATTATTTTTACTATAATTCCTAAGGCTCAAATAACTCGAATTTTTCCCGTTTTTTTTTTCCGTTTAATTCCCCTCGTTTCTTAAATTTATTGGATTTCAGTAATTGAAACTTTAAAAAAAAAAATTCACTTACAAGTTCTGGCAACAAAAAGTTCATATTTTAGTTATGTCTATCTATTTATGAATATAAAATAATAATAATAATCNGTAGCAATTCTCGGGGGTTGGCGAGCGTTAGCGAGCAGGGGGCGGAGCCTCCTAGTAATAAAATAAATGTCTAAAAAACAAAATTGGAAAAAATTTAGTGCCATGACACTTATCTGCTGTTTCACATTTACATCCGTCAACCATACACCTACGCATTACCTGAGTTACATTAGCCATCTTACATTTACAGTCTATAATTAAGGACACATAAAACGTTTTCCACGCTTTAATGAGTAATTATCCTTAATAATTACTCATTAAATCATTAGTTATGGAGCATTCTTTAATATTATTTTTTATTTAAATGCTTCACGATTAAAGTTTTGAAGTCTAACAATATCCATTTTTCTTGCAAAAAAAGAACTTATTCAATGTATGCATGCATATTTTTAAAAATTTTTCTTCTTGTATTTTGAATATGTTTGTAATGTATTTAAATAATATAACATATTTATTACCATATGTCTGATTATTTAAGTGCTACATGACTGAAGTTTTTAAGTTTAGCAAAGTACTAATTTCTTGTAATAAAAAAAATTAATTAAGTTAATGAATATGTTTGAAATGCATAGAATTAGCACAATATATTTGTTTACATATGTTTGTATATTGAATCGATTTATAATCGATTTATAATTACAGATGATCTGCAAATAACGGTAAGCACAGTGCATAAAAAACCGTATCTGGCGTCCTATGTTTCTGCACAATTAAACCGGTAAAAAATTAAAAATAAAAAAAAAATTTAAAAAATCAGAACATTTTCAAATAAAAAAAGTTTTTTCGAAAAGTAACACACAAACAAAGCCTTAAAATCCGTAATGTATTTTAACTTGTGTAATAATAAATGTTCTAAAATTGAATATTATCCCTACTTCTAAACACTTAACTTATTTTTTAGACACTTTATTTAGGCTGTCTATAAGAAAATTTTAAATTTTGAAGAACACTGACAACTTGCATTTGTACAGACATAATTTATCTCTGCAGATGTTCAAGTTTTCACTCCAGATGACTTATTAAACTTCTTTTATTATTAAACATTAGTTTGACTTATTATTTATATTAATTAAAATTATGTTGTTTGATTTAATCTCAATTCAGCAAAGTAACTTCGATGAAAAGTCAATAGTACATCGCAGGTTCGATTTTTGAAAGAAAAGGGCGTCACCCGTGTGTTTGTTTCTGCTTGCACATTTTGTCCCAGATAGACTATAGCTGTCGCGTGGGTTGTTGTAAGCTATCTAATTTCGCGTGATGAGAGGGTGCGTCTATTTATAGATCTCTTTTTCTCTTCACCTATTCCTTCCGCATCTTTTGGTGGATATTCTTTCTTTTTTTCTTTTCTTCTTTTGCTTTCTGCGAAAACCGTTTCCCAACGCAAAATGCTCTTTCCGTGTATTTTTGACACAGTCAGCATATTCAAGTGGATTTGAGTGAACTTCCTGCGTTTACTAGAATTGGCTGTTTTTCTGCTCTGCCGGGAAAAAAAAATGCTTCCAAACGAATGCCTTGCGATTGAAATTAATAATAAATAATAATAATAATAAATAATAATAATAATAAAAATTAACAATAAATAATAATAATAAAAATAAATAATAATAATAAATAATAAAAATTAACAATAATTAATAATAATAAATAATAATAATAATAATAAATAATAATAATTAATAATAATAAATAATAATAATAATAATAAAAAAGCAGTTAAAATGACTGAACTGTGAAAGAATAAAGAAATTTGTTTAAAATTAATTTTTAATATTTTTTATATTTACACTTATATAACAAGTTATTAGTAAATATTAACAATTAAAAAAATTATATGTTGTACAAAAAGTCGCAAAATTCTAAGAAATTGAGTCATTGTATGCACCATTGTTTTTCTAATTGAAATTAAAAAGCAGTCGAAATGATTTCTTTAGGCAATCTAGTGTTAAAATATTTTGCGTTTTAGTTGTTTTATTTTTTTAAATAGTGTAATTTTGTTTTAGATAAAAAAATAATAAAGTAAAATAATTATCTGCGTTTTTCAGATTGATTAAAAAGCATAAAATTATTAAATTTTTATCATACCTTAAACGGTATAGCACATTATTGTTGGAAAATGTTGGCGAAATTTTCTGGGGATAGAAGTTTAAAACGAAAGTATTGCTCTCTACGTTTTTAGTTTTAGACATAATTAAACGAAGTTTCTCCACTTTGGCTTACTTGAAAAACGTAGTTTTAAAATTTTTGGTTTTATTTTCTTTCGTTTTTTTAGTTTTGTGTTTCCTTATGTCAGAAAGTGAGAGGAATCTCGATTGTCAGCAAAATGAAGAAAATTTAGAAACATAATTTAATCAATTAATATTTTAAGACAATTTTAGACCTAAATAATATTTTATGATGACCAAGTGAATTCCTATTTCAGTCAATTCATAAAGGAACGACAAAAAAAATTTCCTTATTAATAAATTTTATTAATATCTCTAATCTTAATAATCATAATAATTCATTATAATTTAATTTAAAGTTTCTCCATTTTAGCTCACTTAAAAAACGTAGTTTTAAAATTTTTAGTTTTATTTTCTTTCGTTTTTTTAGTTTTGTGTTTGCTTATAACAGAAAGTGAGCGGAATCTCGATTGTCTGCAAAATTAAGAAAATTTAAAAACATAATTTAATCAATTAATAGTTAAAATATTGTTAAACAATTTTAGACTTAAATATTATGTTATGACCAAGTAAATTTCTAGTTCAATCAATTCATTAAGGAAAGTTCAGTTCATTGATTCAAATTATTTTTTAATTATTTCCTAAAAATATCATTTTTATTTCATCATTCAAGTAAAAAAAAAATTCTCTAAAGGTACAAGGAAAGAAAAAAAGTCTTCGCGGAAATTCCTTACTAATAATTTTTTAAATCTTTATTTAATAATATCTCTAATCTTAATTTAATTAATAACGGATTGTATTTCTATAAAATAAAAAAATATTAATTTTTTTTCCTAATCAGTATTAAAGAAATTTATAGTTTATAGAAGAATTTTATAGAAAATTTATTAGAATTTATATTATATGTAAAAGTTCCTAAAAAATCTAAATAAGTGCAAATATGAAAAATTGTTTGGAAGTGAGCTGTGTTTGAAAAATTTTACCTTTAACGTAAAAAAAGACACCGGTGTTTCATGCTGTGTATTATTGTCATAAATTATTAAAATGTTAAAAGAACATTTTTCACTTATTTTGACCTGAATTAATACAAAATAATGAAGAAAGTATGAAAAAGATGTTTAACAAAAATTATGGTTCAATAGGTTAGCCTCTTGACCTGAAAATAAACTATCTCTCTCTAATAAACAATTTTTTTTTCTTTCTTTATTTTTTTTATCTCTAATAAACTATCTACTAAACTATCTTTTTTTTTTTGAAAATTATTTAATGATTAAAGTACAGCAGTGTAGAAAGAGACTCTAGAAAACATATTTTTGATTAAAATGTCCAATGTCTACATTTAAAACTTTGACCCTTCAGAATTATCAATTTGTGGTGGAAAGACACATGTGAAAGGATAATTTTTTGACAATTCACACATTTCAAAGTTGTAATGAATTTTGCCTCCCCAAATATTTTTAAAAAAGTTCGTTAAAGTCAGTATGTTTAACTAAATTTTTTTCATTTTTTTATATTATTCTTATTGTCGAATTAACTTTTTATAGCTGTAGATTATTTCTAATGTTATTTTTTTTAAAAATATACTTTAAAGGAAAAAAATTGCGAAAAGTGACTATGAAATGAAAAGAACCTATAGATATTGGTCACCAGTGGTCGGAAATAGCAGACTACATGAAGCTACTGAAGTCGCTACTTTTTTTCGTAGTTTATAGTGTAGTGCGCTACTTTTTTAAAAAAAGTAGTGTAGTGAGAAATTTGATAAAAAAAATAAAATAAAAAAANTCGATGCAAAAGAAATTAAAGTTGTATGTAGCAATTCTTTTCCACTACTACTTTTTACGTTAGTGTGGAAAAGATAAGTCATGTGGCTATTCAATTAAAAGTACCCATAGATATTGGTCACCAGTGGTCGGAAGTAGCGCACTACATGAAACTACTGTAGTCGCTACTTTTTTTCGTAGTTTATAGTGTAGTGTGCTACTTTTTTAAAAAAAAATAGTGTAGTGAGTAGTTCGATGCAAAAGAAATTAAAGTTGTATGTAGCAATTCTTTTCCACTACTACTTTTTACGTTAGTGTGGAAAAGATAAGTCATGTGGCTATTCAATTAAAAGCACCTATAGATATTGGTCACCAGTGGTCGGAAGTAGCGCACTACATGAAACTACTGTAGTCGCTACTTTTTTCGTAGTTTATAGTGTAGTGTGCTACTTTTTTTAAAGAAAAAGTAGTGTAGTGAGTAGTTCGATAAAAAAAAAAACATTTGTATGTAGCAATTCTTTTCCGCTACTACTTTTTACGTTAGTGCGGAAAAGAGACACTGTTCTGAAGGCAACTAATTATTCGAATTTGATGGGTACATACCTTCAAGTTTCCGTCAATAGATACAATGAAAATTACTCTGTGGCTACAGCTGAGCGTTAACAGAAATTACACATTTAAAGTAACGTATAACTATTATTTTAACGAGCCATTGCGAAAAATAAATAATTAAACACTTTGATCACATGTTCACCTGGTCACATGTACACACTCGTGAAACATTATTTCAAAAGAAGGGATCGTATTTTCAACGTACTTAACTTCTTAGAGGAAATAAAAGAGCATTGAACAATTTAAAAATTGCAAGTGTTTGATAATTTCGCATTTCTCAAATTAAATATTCACTGTAAGAAAAGGAATAAAAAGTTGAAGGTTAAATTAACTATATGATCACTGTCCGAGAAGGAATAAAAAGTTGAAGGTTAAATTAACTAATTCGAAAATAATGTTTCTGGAATAACAAACTGGCTCATTTAAACATGAATAACTATTTCTTAGTTATTCTTTTATTTTTAATGTAAGCCAATTTCATATTCAAAACCATTTTGAGCATAGATATAAATTAAGTTCCTTCCCCTTAAAGTAGTGAAGTAGTTACTAAATTTCAAAGTAGCTCGGTAGCTTGAAGTCACTACATTTAATAAAAAAGGTAGTTATAGTTGTATATAACTACATTTGTAACAAACTACTTGAAGTAAACTACAAAAATATAGTTTGTCCTATCACTGTTCCTGACCGACTCATTAGGTTTGAGGAAAAAATAGCGACTGAGTCTTCCTGCCTCTGGCTACTTACTGAAAATATAAATTTTCAGGTTTAGTCTATGCAAAATCATTTATTTCAATATTCTTTAAAAAAATTATATAATATTAGGTTAGGTAATTAATATAATAACCAGACAAAAACACTTTTTTAAACGGCAAATTTTTTAACAGGGTATACTAACTTGTTGTACAAAATTATTTATATGTCCTATGACAATATAACATACATGTATATTTTAGGAGTTCCTGTACCATGTGTTTGCCTTCATCTTTTACATCTCTGCCAGTCTCGCACTGCTCATATACATACAGAAAGTCAACAGATATATTGCGACATCACATTACAATGGAATAATGGCTGCTTCCGTAAGTTCAGACTAAATTAACATATTTTTTTGTGTCTTATTTCGTATAATATAAATGTTTGAGTGCTTAGTTTTTGAGTTATGGAGTCGTATATTTAAAATTTGAGACCTCAGCTTACAATGGATTGATGGCTGCTGCCGTTAGTCCTGGCTAAATTAACATATATCTTGTGTCTTATTTCGTATAATAAAATTTCTTGAGTGCTTAGGATTTGAGTTATGAAGTCGTATATTTAAAATTTGAGACCTCAGCTTACAATGGATTGATGGCTGCTGCCGTAAGTCCAGACTAAATTAACATATATTTTGTGTCTTATTTCGTATAATAAAATTTTTTGAGTGCTTAGTTTTTGAGTTATCAAATTTTTATGAAGTAGTATATTTAACAAAGTCGTTTCGCAAGAACTTTCTGACCGTTTTGTTTCAAATTTTGTGTTTTGCCATATAAAATTACATTCTTTAAAACGATGTACAAATTCGTTTGTCTTGCAGTTTAAAATTTTTTCGACTATTTTGTAATAAAGTAATAAAAAAAAAATATTGAAAATAAATTTTTGCATGGAATTATGTTTAGATAAACGGATTTTATAATTGTGTGCAAAATTTTTTCAATTTACTTAAAAATTAAAAAGCGCTTTGGATATGGTTAAAAACGCAAAAAATTAAATTAACATTATTAACTGTATCCAAACTTTCGATCACTATTCTAGTTAAACTATCGGGACCATATTTCCCGAAACAGGAGACCGACCTCCAGACGATTTGTTTCTTTCAGCATCCTTTTCTTTTATTTTTTTTAAACCTTTTATTTATAATTTTTTTTTATTTATTTTTTATTTTATTGCGAACTGTGTAGTTAACCCCTTCCTTCTCGCTCCCGTAAAAATGACGGGATGAGGTTTCACCCTCTATTTCTCGCTGCTGTGAAATTTCCGGGCTGGAGTGTTCAGTAGTAACGCGCCAATAAGAATAAAACTAATTCATTTCTTTTTCCCAGAAACTTTTTATTTCTTACTTTACACAACAGATGGTAGTACCAGGATACTTTTAAGGTAATTGTAGGTAGTTAGTTTATTTTAAACTAGATGTCAGCACTAATCAAATACGTGTATTTTGAAAAATGGGCACTTTTATGACCGTTTTCTTGTAAATTAACTGATCGTTAAGGGGTTAAAAGAAATTTGAAATCTCTTCGAAAATGAAGTCTATGAAGTAAAAATGTTATAATAGGTTTGGGAATTAACCAGAGCACTGGGGAAGCTGAACATGGTTTCCCTGTCCTCCAGTGATGTCACATAATTTCATACCTCGATAAATGTATAATTCAAAGCTTTCAATCAACAAGGTATTTAAATCGTTGATCTAATCGTTTTAAACCGTATCTTTAGAATATATTCGCGTCTTCAACCATATTAAACAAGTTTGAATTCACGAAATAATAAAACAAATTGTATTTCATACATTTTATTGTTTTTATTTCTTTCAGATTCTGGGCCTTGCCAATTCTGTGTTGTATTTTCTGAGCGCGTTTTTCTCTTTCCGGACCTACAGAACGGGTTAATGTTTCACATCAATTGGCTACTTTCACAGAAATTTCGATGTTTTGAAGCGAAGTTCTTTGGTATTTCAAAAAGAATCATCCAGTATGTGAAATCTAAATAATTGTAGCAGACACACGCATATAGTGCCATAAAAAGTGCCTTATATAGTGCCTTAACTATATAGTGCCTTAACCATATAGTGCCTTAACTATATAGTGCCTTAATAACTTTAAAAAAAAATCGGAATTACAGTGTTCTGTTAATTCTGGTAGCTATGACCTTCAAGCATAAAGAATATGACCTTGATCTCACTTTTTTTTTTTTTTTTTTTTTTTTTAACTTTTGTTTTGGACTTATTGGTAAAAGGTTCCCCACTTTGGGTATCTTTTTATGATTACTGTTATTAGTCTATTTTGGTATTTATTGTCGTCATTCTCTTCGTTATTTGAAGAATTGGTATTAGTAAAAACTTCAATTGCTTTTTCTTAATTTAGTTATTACGTTGCAAATTTGCAATTGGACCTAATATAATTTTTTTTTCCTTAGTTCAAATCAATTGTTTTCTTTTAATATGTTTATAATGTTGCAAATTTGCAGTTAGAACTGATACAATTTTCATTTTGCCTAAATTCAAGTAAATTGTTTTTTGTTAATATGCTTATTATGTTGCAAATTTGCAGTTAGAACTGATGTAATTTTCATTTTGTCTAAATCCAAATCAAATTAATGGCACTGCCTGTTAAGGAATTCTCAAAAGTTTTGCCACTGAATCTTGAATAAAAGAATAATTTTTATTTCGCCTAAACTCAAATGGAATAAAAAATAATTCTGCCCGTTGCTGAACTCTTAGTAGTTGCAAATTTGTTTGGAATTGTTAATTTAAATTGTAATAATAATATTTTTATTCCGTGCCAAATTAATAAATAAAAAAAAAGCTCAAAATTTTAACTAAAAATATATATTTCAAGTGTCTATTCTAAGAAAATGAAAAAAATCAGGTTAAATTTGACTTATCAATTAAGATGGTCGATAAAAAGTTTGCTGTAATTATTCACAACTGGATATTCTTTTGTACTTACTTATCATGTAAAGATGTCGTCTTTTATTTTGCTGCAATTTATAACATAATGTTTTTGTTGCCTTTACTTGTTATATTCTGCCGACATACTGAGCTTGATGCTTATTTTTGTTTTTAACTTTGATAATTTGTTATTGATTTATTTTTTATTTCTTTGTATGTGCTTTTAGATTTTAATGTTGAATCAAATGTGTACTATCAATTAGAAATATACTTTTGTAAAGAAACTTTTTTACAGTGCAATTGAAGACTAATTTGTTAAAAAAAATTTAAAATCACCTAACACAAGATTACAAATATATAAAAAGGAAAATTTTTTCAAATGAGGAAATAGTGTAATGTCAAATGATGTAAATATATAAAAAGGGGAATTTTTCAAATGATTTATTGCTACAGAATTCATATTTTAGAGGAGAAAAAAAGGGATAGCAAAAAATTTATTTTTTATTTGATCTATTTTTCAAAAGTTTTTATAAAAACCTGTTTTCTCCAGCTGTGCTATTGAAGTGTTTATATGAAAGTTTATAAATATCATTGCACTAATGCATAAATAAATATCATTTGATACTTATTTAAACATGAAATTGGGCTTTTAGAATAACAACTTTTAGTAAAAACTTAGCTTTATGTAAGTGTCATTTAAAAATGTATACTTTCTAATTATATATGTTATTAAAATATACAACAACAGAAAAATACCTATACAATAGCTTTCATGTTTATTACTGTGAATGCTATTCGAAATACTTCTATACATTCGTACATAATCTATAGCTACATAATCTATGATTCAAAGACTTGATCCACTACTAGAAGATATGTACTAAAATAAAAATAATATGTATATACATACATATTACTTTTATATACATAAATTGTAATATTTTTAAGGTGATATGAAAATATATATTAAAAAAACTATCTGAAATTATTATGGCTGTTCTCCAAACATTGCCATAAACTACTGTCAAGATTTTACACTATCAAGATCAACCATTATTAGTGTGGGAGTAGCAATATGTTTAAATTCAGTATATTTGGAAACAAAAGTAACAATTTTCCTGTAAGATTTGAAATAATTTTTTTATTATCATGTTTTTCTACTGTTCATATTTTATTTATATTTCAACGTTTACAAGTTCGAAAAATTGTTTAATAAAGTTTTACTGACCAATTTTGTTTTGTTTCTTCAATACTTTGCACTAAAGTAAAACCTCTGTTTTTTTTCTTTCTTTTTTTAATAAAATTTCGCTTTTCTGAAAGAAAATGTAAAATTTATAGCACTTTATTTTACATTTCAGCAAAATCAAATTTTAAAAATGCGACTTTTTTTAAAATTCGTTGATACAACCGATTTCGCTTAAATTTTGTATTGTGCCATTGAAAATTACATTCTTTAAAATGATGTAAAAAAAAAACTGTATACCTTACTATTTAAAATTTTTCCCTACTATTATTAAATAAAAGAATAATTATTTACTAAAAGTTATTTTTAGCATGCAATTAACATTGGATGAACGACCTTTACAACTATGCGCGATTCTTTTAAAAAGTTTTCGACATATGGCGGAATATGCAAAAAGTAAAATTAGCAATAAGGTGTTCAAATTTTGAATCGCTCTCTCTTGTTCAAAAAAGGGTTACTGTATTTTCCAGATTGTGGTATATTTTGGGGTTCAGAAATCTGAATCCATCAAAAAATTGGTATGCTTATTCAGAGAAAGTACGTTTTAGCGTCTGATTTCGTAACTTAAAATATCGTCTACTCTAATTAATTAGCATATTTGAGGTCTCCCCCATCGATCCTTTAAGATCGGGTCCTAAAACTTGAAGATCTACTCATTAGATCAAAAACTTTTCAGGGTGGTCCGTTCATTTATTTATTTGTTTTCTTCTTTTTGCGCACTAAACGTCTAAATATTTATAATTCAAATATGTTGAAATTTTATCTTTATCTCTAATTTGTTCCATCGTGATGCGAAGAAAATTTTTTATAATTTGATTTTATTACATAGACCAGACTGTATTCTGGTCTATTTAATAATATTTCTTTTTTAATTTTTCGCTATATTTTAACTGTCAGCAAATGAATTATTTCCAGGTATCCCTAATATGAAACGTCAATTTCCTCTCATTTATTTTTAATTAAAGAACGTATTATTGTCACTATTTAATCTAGAGATTTGTATGTAGTTGTGTAAGAAAGAAAGTGCGAATATAAATATTTTAGAAAGGGCTCCTATACGAGATTTACCTCTGGTAACAATAAGGTAATGTGTAATGGCACGACCCTTTAGATTTTAGTTGTTAACTATTCCATCCGAACTTCCGCTTTCAACCCCTGATTGCAATATAGCAACTGAGTAGTTTATTTTTAGTTAGTAGTTAATTCCATTTTTTTCGTTTCTTGTTTCATTCAAAGATAATTCAAATTCTCTTTAAGCAGCATGAGCCCCCTAAATTCCTATCCTAGATTGTCGTGACGCTTGTAAAATTTTTCTTTAGATCTCATTTTACAATAAGTACTTCGTAAAAAAATTTTTCCTTTCTTAAAAATTTCCTTGGCTATTACTGCATTTTTGTTAATAATTGTTGAAAACTAACAACAGAAAACCAAATTATTTTTTTCACACATCATGTAGCTTACTAACTAGCTGCATGATGTAGTAGTGCTTTTTTTTTAGTACTGAGCAATTAAACATTTTGCTTTATTCAATCACTCCCAATGGCTATATCCTTTTTCATGTGTGATAAAATTTCGAAACATTAGATGACGCCACTATATAAAGAATGAAATTAAATTAAAAATTTTGCTTAAAGAAAAACGTTTCTAGATATTTTTATATGAATAAGTAGCAGACGCATTGTGTAATCATACATTTAATTTAAACAAAATTGTTCCTGAAAATATAGCTTTTTGGTACCCATAAAGTAATAAATTTAAGGTCATATGGGAGAGTTGTTATAGTTAGAATATGAAAGAAATGCGCCTAGATGCGATATTCTTTCCTGTTTTGCACACATTTCATAATACATCAAAATATTAATTTAAAAATAAAAATTATTTTTATTTAAAAACCTTTTTGAACTCTCCTTTAGTTCATAATCATATAGAATAGCTCAGTTTAAAAAACTAGGAAAATGCACAGTTTAAAAGACTTGAAAAAATTAATGTTTTAAATTTGGAACTCGACATAACAGGCAAATTAACAAAGGAATTTTAGTGTGTGCATAAAATGTACCTAACAGGTACTTTGTGGAAAATTTTCAAATATTTGTTGAAGTACTTAAACTTTTTGGAAAGATTCTAATCATCTTTATAAAAAAGTGTCCAAAGTAAATGTTCATAAATTTACTTTTCAAAAAAATATCGAAAGACCGACAATTTCATNTATATATATGCACTAATACATAAATAAATACCATTTGATACCTATTTAAACATGAAATTGGGCTTTTAGAATGAATATGCTGACAACTTTTAGTAAAAACTTAGCTTTATGTATATGTGTCATTTAAAAATGTATGTTTTCTAATTATATATGTTATTAAAATATACAAAAAAATACCTATACAGTAACTTTCATGTTTATCATTGTGAATGCAATTTGAAATATTTTTATATACATTCGTACATAATCTATGATTTAAGAATTTGATACACTATTGGAAGATAAGTTCTAAAATAAAAATAGTTTATATATATATATATAAAATACTTTTATGTACATAATATATTTTATATATTTTTAAGGCAATACGAAAACATTTAAAAAAAACTATCTGAAATTATAATAGTTAAGTAAACTATTCTCTAAATATTGCCAGAAACTACTATCAAAATTTTACAATTATCAAGATCAACCACTATTAGTATGGGGATATCAAATGTTTAAATTCAGTATATTTGGAAATAAAAGTAAAATTTTCCTGTAAGATTTGAAATAATTTTTTTATTATCATGTTTTTCTACTGTTCATATTTTATATGTATTTCAACGTTTACAAGTTCGAATAATTGTTTAATAAAGTTTTACTGACCAATTTTGTTTTGTTTCTTTAATACTTTGCACTAAAACCTCTTAACTTTAAGTTAAACCTCTGTTTTTTGTTCTTTCTTTTTTTAAGAAAAACCCACTTTGCTGAAAGAAAATGTAAAATTTATAGCATTTTATTTTACATTTCAGCTAAATCGAATTTTAAAAATACGACTTTTTTAAAAAATTCGTTATCTCAGGAACGATGCAACCGATTTCGCTTAAATTTTGTATTGTGCCATTGAAAATTACATTCTTTAAAATGATGTAAAAATGTATACCTTACTATTTAAATTTTTTCCCGACATTTATTAAATAAAAAAATAAATATTTACTAAACGTTTTTTTTTGCATGCAATTACCTTTGGATAAACGACCTTTACAACTATGTACGATTCGTTTAAAAATTGGCTGAATATGCGAAAAGTAAAATTAACATTAAAAGGTTCGAACTTTGAATCGCTCTCTCCTGTTCAAAAATGGTCCCCCTATATTTTGGGGTCCAGAAGTCCGAATCCGTTAAAGAAAATGGTATGCTTATACAGAGAAAGCACGTTTTAGTGTCTGATTTCGTAAGTTAAAATATCGTCAACACTAATTAATAAGCCTTTTTGAGGTCACCCCCTTGAATCATTAAGATCAGGTCTTGAAAGTTGAAGATCTGATCATTAGATCAAAAGATTTTTAAGGTGGTTTATTTATTATTTGTTTTCTTTTCGCGCACTAAGCGACTAAAAATTTATAATTCAAATCTGTTGAAATTTTATCTTGATCTCTAATTTGCTCCATCGTGATGCGAAGAAAATTTTTTATAATTTGATTTTATTACATAGACCAGACTGTATTTTTTAACTTTTCGCCATATTTTAACTGTTAGCAAATGAATTATTTCCTTTATCCCTAATATGAAACGTCAATTTCCTCTAATTTATTTCTAATTAAAGAACGTATTATTGTCACTATTTAATCTAGAGATTTGTATGTAGTTGTGTAAGAAAGAAAGTGCGAATATAAATATTTTAGAAAGGGTTCCTACACGATATTTACCTCTGTTAACAAAAAAGGTAATGTCAGGGACCGATCAAGGCAAATTCAGGCCCAAAGCCCAACAAATTTTCTGGGCCCCTTACAAAGTATTTTAAAAAATTACCGAAGAGTAGTCCTAATAATGAAAAAGAATCCATTGAGTTGCATGATTCAAGAGAAACCTTCTAAGAAATTTTGAAAGCAGACAATTGAATATTATTTTTCTAAGATAAAGTTTCTTCTTCTTCATAAGCGCAACAGCCTTTCACAGGCCAAGGCTGACTCGCAGATTTTCCTCCATCTGACCCTGTCCGGTGCGACGGCCCGCCATCGGTTGACTCCCAATAGCTTGAGGTCCTTTTCAACGTCATCTATCCATCTTGTAGGTGGTCGTCCCCTACTTCTCGTCCTTTCAATTGTGGAAAAAGTCACTTTTTTGGCAGGGACGGCATCAGAGTTTCTGAAGAGGTGGCCCAGCCACCTAATGCGTGATGCTTTAATAGTTCTCACAATGTCGGTCCCACCGAATTTGTCATATTTTTTGTAAATTTCGTGGTTGTAAAGAATTCTCCATACGTTATTCTCTTGAAGAGATCCAAAGATTTTCCTCAAAATTTTTCTTTCAAAAATTAGCAGTTTTTCCTCCTCTGTTTTGCTTAGGGTCCAGCACTCACTTCCATACGTAGCTATAGGCCTGATTAAAGTTTTGTAGATGTTTAACTTTGTCTTCACACTGATGAACTTGGATTTCAGTTGGTTTCTGAGGCCGTAGAAACTTCTGTTAGCCATGGAAATTCTGTTATTTATTTCGATTTTCAGGTTGTTGTGGCTAGAGATCAAGGTTCCTAGGTACTTGAACTGGTTAACAGTTTCAAAAGAGTAAGTCATTATCTCCAGAGGAGATCGATCAGGAGTTTTATTTGTTGCGATCAAAAACTTGGTTTTGTCTGCATTTATAACTAGTCCCATCTCCTTCGCCGCACTCTCAAGCGCTACAAAAGCGTCAATGACTGAGCGCTTTGTTCTTCCAACTATGTCGATATCATCAGCAAAAGCGAGTAGTTGGACAGTTCTTTGTAAGATTGTTCCATTTGTGTTGATACCAGAGTCTC